GGCGAGGGGCGGCTGCCCCGGACCGAGCCCCGCGCGCGCCAGGGCCCGTGTCGCTGCCTCCTTTACTCCGCTGCCCGGGCGTTCCTCCCCCTCCCGCCCGTCGTTCGGCCACGGCGCAGTGTCGGACTCTCCACTTCAGGTTCATTTCCTCTCCCCTCCAAAGCGATTTGGCTTTTCAGAGCTGCCGCTGCACCGCACCATTTCCGTTACCTGCCCGAAAGGCCGGAGAAGTCCTGGTGGGCGATGCGCCTTCTGGCTAGGTCCAGACTGGCATGATTTTCTGCAAATGCTAGTAACGGAAAAGTTTTTCTGTTAAAAGCATTTGCGGAAAAGAGCGTCTAGATTGGCACAGACAGAAAAGCGTCTGTGGCCAATCTAGACGCGGTTTTACGCAAGAAAGCCCCGATCGCCATTTTCGCCATCGGGGCTTTTTTGCGCAAAACAGTTTTTAGCTGTCTACACTGGCCCTCTTGTGCAAAAACATTTCCGGAAAAGGGCTTTTGCCCGAACAGGAACGTCAAAGTGTTTGCAGAAGAAGCATTGATTTTGGACAGTAGAACGTCAGTGCTTTTGCGCAAAATCAAGCAGCCAGTGTAGATAGCCGGCAAGTTTTTGTGCAAAAGCACTTGCTTTTGCAGAAAAACTTGCCAGTCTAGATGCAGCTTCTGGGTATACCACTGCCAAGCTGAAGTGCAGTGAAACGCAGGTATATTTACCAAGTGCAGGGGACTGGCTTGATTTAAGTAGTTCAGGAATTTGCAGCCTCCCGCCATCTGAGTAGAGTCACTTTAGAGCTCTCTCTTGTGACCAATGGCCTGAAATATGAAAGGCACAGGTCAGGGCAGTTGTGTCTTGAAAAAAGCCTTGTGGGTGCTTTTTGTATGGTAGATATCACAACCAGGACTGAACCAGCCTTCTGTGCCATTTGTCATGGACACCATAAAATATTATAGAAAGTACTGCAGGGGACAGACTTCTCCTATGTGCTTTCCTATAACACTAGAAATATCTGTTAGTTTATTTAGGAAAAGATTCAGATTCTTTTGTCTCTGCTCATTATTACATTTTGAAGAAATAATTGACTGGAGTGAATATAAATAATTATTTCTGTATTTCCCTCTTCCTTTTAGTCTGGGTAAGATGCCAAAGCTCCAGGGGCTTGAGTTCTGGAGAAACACATTGAAAGGTGCTCACTATGTAGTTGCTCCCATGGTGGATCAGAGCGAACTAGCCTGGAGACTACTGAGCCGTCGCCATGGAGCCCAGTTATGTTACACACCCATGCTGCATGCTCAGGTCTTTGTCAGAGATGCTAATTATCGCAAAGAGAATTTGTACTGTGACGTGTGCCCTGAGGATCGACCATTGATTGTGCAGGTGAACTTGCTAAGAGGAAGTGTAATTTTATAGTGTAATCTGTGTGGAGCTATTTCCTTGTCTTCACCTACATTTGTATGGCATATTTTGGGAGCTACCATCATATAAATAATTTGGAGAGCATGTTGCTCCAAAATACGTATTTACAACCCTTTACTGGAAGTGCTCTACAACACTAACTCATGCCATATACCTGAAATCGTTACTGAGCTTCTCTATAAAAGTCTCACCCCTGGAATCTTGCCTGTCTATTGAAGAGATGGTAATGGAGGACATCCCCGGAAAGAATGTCAGGTGATAAACAGCAATGTAAACAGGGGAAAAGGTCTACAGAATCTCCTGAAATGAGTGAATGTAAGACTTGTTTGATAACTGTCAATAAGGAAACTTTAAATAGAACTTACCTTTAGGCATGTATAATTCTGTTTAATTCTAATTTTAGTCAGTTAGCCAGTTAAATGTTATGGTTAACCAGTGATCTGCTTAAAATGAGGCAGGCAGGGCTGGAGTGAACTACTGCACTCCAGCTGGGCCACTGGTCCAGTAACCATCGAACATCATAAGGCTGTGGGTAATGCTTACCAGTTAACCATTGAAATCCCTAATTAAATATGAATGTTTAAAATTTATCTTTCCCTTGTAGCAGCCCTGAAACACCTTCCTAGTTAAGATATAGAGCTATGCTGAGTTTCCCCATTGGTAATTTGGTGTTTTAGCTAACTTCTAGTCCAGTAGTTCCCACGTTTTGATTCATTTTATTTAAAAAAAAACCATGACATCTGAAAGACCACTTCTTGTGTGCATCTGCTTTAGGCTTTAATAGGTTCAAGTATTTTCAGTCCCATAGTAAAACTAATTCAAGGAAGCCTAGCACATTAGATAACGTTAGATTCTGGGATGCATTAACAGGAGTGTTGTGAGCAAGACACAAGGGGCTGTGTCTACACTGCACCCCTTTTCCGGAAAAGGGATGCAGATTAGACCAGTCGGAATTGCAAATCCGTGGGGGATTTAAATATCCCCCGCGGCATTTGCATTTACATGGCTGCCGCTTTTTTCCCGCTTGGGGATAAGCTGGAGAAAAGCGCCAGTCTAGACACAATTCTCAGGAAAATAAGCCCTTTTCCGGAGGATTTCTTATTCCTACTTGAAAGTAGGAATAAGAAATCCTCCGGAAAAGGGCTTATTTTCCTGAGAATCGCATCTAGACTGGCGCTTTTCTCCAGCTTATCCCCAAGCCGGAAAAAAGCGGCAGCCATGTAAATGCAAATGCCGTGGGGGATATTCAAAACCCCTGCAGATTTGCAATTCCGACTGGTCTAATCTGCATCCCTTTTCCGGAAAAGGGGTGCAAGTTTTTCCACAAAAGCAGTTGCTTTTGCGGAAAAACTTGCCAGCTGTCTACACTGGCCGCTTGAATTTCCACAAGAACACTGATGATCTCGTAAGAAATCAGTGCTTCTTGCGGAAATACTATGCTGCTCCCGTTCGGGCAAAAGTCCTTTTGCAGACAGCTCAGATTTGTTTTGCGCAAAAGCGCGTCCGTGCCAGTCTAGAAGCTCTTTTCCACAAATGCTTTTAATAGAAAACTTTTCCATTAAAAGCATTTGCGGAAAATCATGCCAGTCTAGATGTAGCCAAGAAGTCATTCTTCTGCTCTACTCTGTGCTGATTAGGCCTCAGTTGAAGTATTGTGTCCAGTTCCAGGCACCACATTTCAAGAAAGATGTGGAGAAATTGGAGAAGATCCAGAGAAGAGCAAGAAGTATGATTAAAAGTCTAGAGAACATGACCTATAAATGAAGATTGAAAGAATTGGGCTTGTTTCATTTGGAAAGGAGAACACAGAGGGGACATGATAGCAGTTGTCAGGTATCTAAAAGGGTGTCACGAGGAAGGAGAAAAAATTTTCTCCTTAGCCTCCAAGGATAGGACAAGCAGCAATGAGTGGGTGTGTCTAGATTGGCATGTCTACGCTGGCTGCAAGTATTTGCGCAAGAACACTGACTTTGTACTGTACAAAAAAAATCAGTGGTTCTTGTGCAAATACTCCGATGCTCCCGCTCAGGGATAAACCCTCTTGCGCAAGTATTCTTGGGCAAGAGGGTCAAGTGTAAACAGCCAAGTTAATTTCTTGCGCAAGAAAGCCCGATGGCTAAAATGGCTAAAACTTTTCCGTTAAAAGTATTTCCGCAAAATCGTGCCAGTCTAGATGCAGCCTCAGGGTGGTTAAACACTGGAATAAGTTGCCTAGGGAGGTTGTGATATCTCCATCTCTGGAGATATTTAAGAGCAGGTTAGATAGACATCTGTCAGGGATGGTCTAGATGGTACTGGGTCCTGAATGAAGGCAGGGGACTGGACTCGATAACCTCTCGAGGTTCCTTCCAGTTCTAGCGTTCTATGATAACACCCTTTTAAAGCATCTCAGGTTTAGCTAGTGAATCAAATAGCAGTTGTTTGCCTTTGTTACTCAAGTTACACAAAACAGATGTCAAGTGTGACATGCTGCTGAACTAAGTCAGTGGCTTGAATTTAACGTGCCAGATTTGTAGTTCTTCCCTCTGATCCTCATCTGAAGAATTGTTGAACATGAGCCAAAGTTCACTTGGCTTAACATGTGTTTTTTCTTTAAACTTTGTAAAAAAAAAAAAAGGTAACAGTGTATACTAAGAAGAGTGCCATTAATGAGAAGGGTGGGCTTGATTCACACACCATAGCTCTTTTAGCAGATGAGATATTGGTTACCTTCAGTCAACAGCTCAGTTCTGCACTGAAGTCTGCTATTAGCTATTAATGGCAATCCCACAGCAAACTGTAGTGCTGAAAGGCATCAGAAATCTCATAGTTCAGTCCTATATCAGGATAAACACCTCTCTACTTTGCTCAGCCTAATGTTGCCTGGCTGCACTTTGATTACATGAAGGTAGACTCCACTCTTACGTTCATCATTCAATTCTTCCTTTTCCTTTGTTGAGAAGCTAGGCAATTTCAGCTCCAGTTACCCTTGTTCCTGCTCTGGTCATTGCACTCAGCTCCTTCTCCCTTGGCAAAGTGAGTTCAGAGCCCTCATTCATGGGACTTTGCTGTAATTCAAGGAGGCTTCCCCAGCCTACAAATATTCAGATTCCAGACCAGCACCATAAGGCCTTGAACTCACATGCTTTATTCCCTTGCTTCAGAGCCCATCCCCACAGTCCTCCTTCCTGGGCTTGTGATTCAGCCCAGTCATCTCCTTTCTGGGCCCTAGCCCAGGAAAGAGATTCTTGGGGATATCTGCTCACTCTCCTCCTGCAAGCCAGGGGGGGGGGGGGGGGGGGAAGAGTTACCTGATTTACAGATGGCCCCATTTCCCAGCTAGTTTGATGCTCCCTTGAATAGCAGTTTCCTTAAAGGGCTCATACAATGAACATGATTTGACCAACTCTAGGTCCCACTCCTCCTTAAGGAGCAGAGACTGCCTAATTACAAAAGACCATTCCCCCCAAGGTCACATCTGTTTAGCTTCAAAATAGGAGAGCAGAGGTTTATCATTTGCCTCACTAAGTCATCAGTCTTCTTTTTAGGGTATATGACCTTTCTATATAGCCTCTTGCTGAGTCACAGACTGTCCTCATAGGCTCTGTAGTTCTTTATCACATTTTACCCAGGCCTCAGCTTCCTTTAGCTCCTTCCCATGACTCAACAGTCCCTTCCCCCCTGCAGTGCAGGGATTGCTGACCCACCTCAACAGGTGATACCACATGGTGTAGCAAGCCCAGCTCCTCTCTCCAGGCCTCCGTGTCAAGACCTCAATAAGTGAAGCAGGTACCTGCCTTAATCTCTGGTCACATTATCTGTCCCCAAAGCTACATCCTACTGTACTAACTTGCCTGGGCACTAGACCTATCATTCCCCCCCACAATTACCTTGCATCACACTGCTGCTTTTTGTCATCTCACTCGCCTACTGAGTGCAAACTGCCTTTATATCTCCCACAGCAGCCCTGGTTCTCAGCTGTATGCCCTGGGAGGTAAATCAGGCACAGGTGAGACTGAACTCAAAACAGCCTTGCAGAGCATTTTTACCTTGCAACAGTTTCCATGATGCTGTTTGTTTGGTTTTTAGCTTTCATTCATTTTGGACAATGAACCTGACTGCTCTGTTTCAGTTTCACTCAGAACTAGTGAATCTGTGTTTGGATGACACACGCTGCTGTGGGAAGGAAAAAGCCAAACAAGCTGTTTTTCATTAAAATGTAAAAAGACCCTCAAACTATTAAACAACACAAAATGAAAATACACATTGATATTTCTTATGCCTTAAATACTAATTCAGTCTGTGACTGAACAATTGACCAGTACATATTGTAACTGCTCCACACTTCTGTGCTGGTTAGCAATCCACCTGTGGAAAGGAATGTTGCTGATTGACTCAGGACCCAGTTACCTCAGAGACATCCTTTCTTCTGTCAACCACTTGTCTGGGCATGAATAATATGGGTTATAAGATGCATCTCCTTCTCCAGGGTTTCTTTTCACTTGAGCTCTGGAATGCTAAGCTCTCTGGTTCTTGGTGGGTTTTGAGGGGAACTTTTTTTTTGGCAGGGGGGAATATTTAAAGTTATAGCTCTACAGCAATTGTATATCAGAGATATAGGCTACAGCTACATTGGCAAGATTTTGTGCAAATACTTTTAACGCAAGAGTTTTTGTGTTAAAGTATTTGCACAAGAGAGTGTCTACACTGGCATGTGCATTTGCGCAAGAGCTGTGCTTTTGCGCAAAAGCATCTGTGCCAGTGTAGATGCTCTCTTGCGCAAGAAAGCTCCGATGGCCATTTTAACCATAGGGCTTTCTTGCGCAAGAAATTCATGTTGCCTGTCTACACTGGCCTCTTGTGCAAGAACACTTGCGCAAGAGGGCTTATTCGTGAGCAGGAGCGTCATAGTTCTTGCGCAAGAAGCACTGATTTCTTACATTAGAACGTCAGTGTGCTTGCGCAAGAACTCGCGGCCAGTGTTCTTGCGCAAGAACTCGCGGTGCTTTTGTGCAAAATCTTGCCAATGTAGGCACAGCCATAGTGTATATGCCCTTAATTGGAGAAACAGTCTTTGCTTTTACTCTGAGCTATATGACTTGATCCATATACTATAGCATTGGGGCCCTTTATAATTAGTAGTAATATTTTGTTAGTACTTGAAATTGAGCCATGCCTAACTTCTTCTTATGTACATCTTTTTTAGTTCTGTGCCAATGACCCTGAAGTGTTTGTCCAGGCTGCTTTGCTGGCTCAGGATTATTGTGATGCCATAGACCTGAATTTGGGTTGCCCTCAGATGATTGCAAAGAGAGGTATGTGCAAACCTGAGCTCTGAAAGAACAAAGTAGTGACACATTTCACATCAAAACTTACCTTATGGCAGTCCGGCATCCTGAGGGACAAATGCTACCTTGATGTGCCTGATAATTCTGTTGAAATCAGCAAAATTACACCCATTTTAACTAGGGATGTCAATATGTAATCAACTGCACGATTAACTGATAAATCTTGGCTTATGGTTAATCTTGTTGACTACACACACTTCCCCCTCTTGCTGCCTCTGGGGGGAGGCAGGAGCTGGTTCCAGTAAGGAGTTGGCTTTAAGCCAGCTCCCCACGAGCACCAGATTTGCCTCCCCCCCTTCCGGACTACTGCTTCTGATAGAGAGGCAGCAGCGCCCAGGGTGAAGGGGGCAGGCTGGAGCCAATACACAAGGGAAGCCGGCTTTCAAACAGGCTGCCCATGTGTATCAGCTCTCATGGACCCATCTACCCCCTCCCTTGCTGCCTCCTACAGAAGCAGTGAGGAGGGGCAGGCTTAAAAGCCTCCCACACACTATCAGAGGCAGCAGCCCATCTGTGGGGGATTCAAGCTCCCTGCAGACAGAGGCTGCTCCAACATTCCACAGAGCAGCCTCTGGCCATAGTGAGCCTGGGTGCACGGACAGAGGCTGCCATGGACCAACCTCTGTCCACGGGAAGTTCAGACCCCCATGGACAGGGGCTTCTGCTGTCCCACGCTGCTGTCTCCGTATCAGAGGGAACAGTGTATTGTGATAGGCAGCCTGTTTGTGCGGGAAGCTGGTTTTTAAACTGGCTAACCTGGTAGACCAGCTCCCACTTGCCCCTCCCCTCCCCCCTCCACTACTCCCTGTTTCATACAGAGGCAGCAGTGTGGGGTGGCTGGGGGCTCCCTGGCAGTGGGGCTGGGATCACACTAGCTGCCAACCCCACCCCCGGGGACTGTCGAATAGGCTTGTAACTGCTAAGATTTCATGCAGTTACACAACTATTCAACTACACAATATCGAACATCCTAAATTTTAGTTAGGACTGGGTCTGGTACCTTGTAAGTAAGTGAAGATAAAAGTAGTTGCTTGAAGAGTAGTTCTACGACGCACTGCTGGGTAGCTCTTGTGTGCAGGATGTCCATTCAAAAAGTGTCATTTTAAGTCTCTAAAGGGCTTCAATAAAATCTACAACCATCAGAAACTATAATTGTTTATTTTCATTATTCAGTCAGACGTCTTAAGACTTCCTTTAAAATAATCTCTTGCAAGCCAACATTTAGGGTCTCCTGTGTCCCTAGCACACATCTATGGGTATGTCTATACAGCAACATTATTTTGAAATAACTTAGTCAGTGTCTACACAGCAGGCAGTTTTTCCAAAATAATGTCAAAGTATTGTCAAGCTGCAAGACTTCTTACTCCAACTCTTATATCCTTCATTGTATGAGGAGTAAGGGAAGTTGGAGGAAAAGTGCTCTATTTCAAAATAAATGCTGTGTAGACGCTCCCAATTTTGAAATAAGCTACGCAATTGACATAGCTCAATTTGTGTAGCTTATTTTGAGTTAAGCTTTGCTGTGTAGACACACCCATAAAGAGCTTATTCATATTAACTTCTAAGAAAATGAAAGAGTTGCCAAAGGATTAAGGCGATTGCAAGGGGTCTCTCTGTGGGGAAGATGATCCAGATACCAGAAATTCTGGGTTAGGCCAGGGCATATTAATTGGAAAGAAGAGGGAGGAACCAAAAGTTTGCTAATCATATTCCTCAGTTTAGTTTCCTGGGCACAAGTTGTTTTTAAAGATTAATAGGAACTGCACATTGGCACCCAGAGACAATAGGCGTTCAATTCTGCCAGCCTTAAATCCAGAGTACATTTTTACATACCAGTTCTAAACCACTGCAAATAGTACTTTGACCTGTCAATACAGGCAGTCCCCAACTTACGCGGATCCGACTTACGTCGGATCCGCACTTACGAACGGGGCTTTCTCGCCCCGGAGGTCGAGGTGGCGGATTGCTACCTGCGAGCTCCGGGGAGGCGTTCAATTCTGCCAGCCTTAAATCCAGAGTACATTTTTACATACCAGTTCTAAACCACTGCAAATAGTACTTTGACCTGTCAATACAGGCAGTCCCCAACTTACGCGGATCCGACTTACGTCGGATCCGCACTTACGAACGGGGCTTTCTCGCCCCGGAGGTCGAGGTGGCGGATTGCTACCTGCGAGCTCCGGGGC